TGATCCAAAGTTACAGAAGTGGAAAAAGAAAGGAAATAAATATAACAAAATTCCTTAGAGGGCAAAAAGCTCTAAGCTTTAAGAGAGTACAGATTAAGGACATTATGGAAAGAATAGAGAACAATAATAAAATAAAGAACTGTAGCTGCAAAACCAGCAATCAGAGCTCCTCCAACATGGTCACAAAACTTTGGTACCTGCCCACATATTGGTAGCCAACCAGCATGACTGTTTCCCTTCTTTCCCAGTTGACCTAGTGCCAAACATGCTGATATGCTTGAATCTAACAGCAATGTCATAATCTACATTTAAAAAAACACAAAAATTTTAATCCATCCCATATTGTAAGGAAGGGCGGCCCAACCCGGCCTAGCCCTGGTGCTGTAGTACATGGGTTGTGCCCGCATTTCTATCACTAGATAAAAGAAAGTGATGATGGGGACAACTATAGCCAAGTTGGTCAAGCTGTTAGTTTGGTAACTGCAAGGTTCTAAGTTCGACTCTCAAGTGGGAGTGGCTTATTGACCTTCTTGATTAGACTGGTTTACCTCATTGTGGTCTTTTGCAGACTAGAGTTATGAGGGGGGCAATGCACACCCTCATATAGTGTGGTCCAGGAAAAAAAAAAAAAAAGAAAAAAAAAAGTGATCAAGGTAGAGCGTACCGTATCTGTAACCAACAGAATGCGTGTGAGAGATTTCTTGGAAGGAAAAAATAGGACTATGATGCTATAGCCACTAGCTATTGCATTCATAACAACAAAGTACCTGGAGATTTCAACATCAAACTTGAACACAACCCAGAAGAAAAGAAACCAAGAATGCATTCAAAACTATATATGATTTAACTAACTTACTTGAAAGTTGGTGAATTGTTGTACTTGGCTTCAAAGGTCATGCCCAGAACCTGAGCAGAGTCATGGCTGGTGATCATCACAACGATGGCAGTAACAGTGCCACCCAAGGCTAAAAGCCTTAGCAGAAAAACAGGAATTCTCTTAGCAAAAGTCATGAGATGAGAATATGAGATGAAGAAGACTCAGGCAGGCAGGGCTCAAGAACAGCTTAAACTTGTTATAATGTTAGACAAAACAAAAATATATGGCTCCAAGGGACAACTGAACTGAGTTTTAAAATGGCAGAAACTGTGTGGGAATTGGGGGAAAATGTGGGGTAGGAAAAGGCAGATATGTGGGCGTTAAACATGTCTTCCTAGGAGTCAATTTTTCTTGTATGGGGCCATGTTCTTGGTTACCTAAGAAGTGCACATACAGATTCGTGCCCCTATTTGCTTTCTTTCTCAATTGTTTACCTACAACTGTTGTTTTCCGGCTGAAAAAAATATGTTTATTTATTTATGGGAAAATGACACTTTTTCCCCCTAAGTTATATACTTATAGCTATTTTTCCTCCTCAATTATTTAGGTAAGCACATTAGCCCCCCCAATTATTCTAAAAGTGGTGATTTTCCCCCCCGATATATTAAATTGACATTTCTACCCTTAAAGTAAACATTTTATTTATTTTACTTCTCCAACAAATTATCGCGTATACGTAGGGATGACCACGGTTTAGATCAAACTGAACCGGACACTATAGCAATTGAATTAAAAGTTTCCGGTTATGATTCAGATCTAGAACCTAATATTTGGATTTCAATTTATTAAAATTATGAATAAAAAAAAATTGGATCTTGAACCGTGAATCGGCGGTTCTGGATCCGGTTCGCAATTTTGAACCGTCTTTATTTTAAAATTTTATTTTTTATTTTAAATAGTCTAAATTCAACAATAAATATATTTTATTTTTTCAGTTTGGTACATGAATCGTCCGTTCCGGTTCGCGATTTTAATAAACTCTAAATATCGAGTTTCGATTCTAAATTGTAATTGTAATATTTCGGTTTGGTTGCTATAGTGTTTGTTTGGTTTGAACCAAATTATTGTCATAATTTGTTGGAGAAGGAAAATAAATGAAATATTTATTTTAAGGGTAAATATGTCCATTTAACATTTTAGGGGAAAAAACAGCCACTTGAATAATTCAGGGGGAGAAAGTACTATAAGTATATAACTTAGGGGGAAGAAGTGTCATTTTCCCTATTTATTTATTTATTTATTTATTTATTTATTATTAGCTTTCTTTTTGTTCTTGGAATGACAGGAGCAATTGCCAGCCAGCTCAACTACCTGCTTTTTGACTATCCTACTGCACACAAAAACAAAAAAAAAAAAACAAAAACAAAAAAAAAAAAACAAAAAACAAAAACAACTTATATTTACTATTCATTAATCAAACCAATTTATCTTTTTTTTCTTTTTTTTCTAATTTTTTTTGTGTGTTTAATACAAAGTATTATATTTAATACCATTTTGAAATATATAAATTTTATATATTAATACTAAACTTAATATTAAACATAAATAAATTGTAAATAAGTTCAGTTAAGTTTCATTAATCAGAGTAAGTTATCGAGTTGGAGTTTCGATTTTAATAAAGAATACAACAAACTTTATTAGTGCGATCTAAATTAAATCTGAATTAATCTCAAAGTGATAAAAATATTAGATGTCACACACACGCGCAGGGCTTCAAAGATATTGGGAAAAGACAATATAATGTCATTAATTTAGTGGGATAATTATACGTAGCCGCAAAGCTCGCCAAAAAGTCATCTTAGCAATTAAGGAGATGTTATAATTTATTTAAAATCATACGTAATTAAAGTTTAAAATAATACAATTGTTGTCGGCCGGTGAGCTATTGAGGTTTCGACCAATGTGGAGAGTTTGACTACTCCATAAAATTACTTAGCTCATTATTATTGTTTCATTTCTTCTTACAGTTTTTTTTTTTTTTTTTTTTTTTTTAAAAATTCTTCTTACAGTTATTAGGCTGAAATTATACAGTCATGCAAGATGATATAATTTTCGTAAAAGTATTTAATATGACAACTTGGGTTGTAAACTTACAATCCTGTCAAAAGGTTGCCGTAGCCGATATTGCGACAGCCTTTTGTATTATTTTTATTTTTTAAAAATTTTTATTTGTTTTAGTTTTGAATATTTTATTTGTTTGTTTTGATGTGATGTAAGTGTGGAACCTTTTTTTTGAAAGTGATAAAATATTGCAAGGATATAGGTAAAATAATAAATGAATTGCAAATTTAGTGATATGAAAATATGGCTTACTTTTGAAAGTGAGAAAGTATTGCATGCATAAAGATCAATTGTTATACTGTGGACCAGGGCCTGGTCCTATACGACGTCGTTTTGAATTTTAATTTTGACGGTGGCCGTTTGTTGTTCAGTTCACGTTACAGGTTTTTTTTTCTGTTTTTTTTTTTTTTTTTTTTTTACTATAAAGCATGTGTATGTGTCTTGTGTTATGCGTTTCTGTGTCTCATGTTATGCAATTTTGTAACTTAAGCTTATGGATTATGTATCTGAAATAAAGTAAATATAACATGCGTTTTTATAACATGAACTAAACATGGGAATCTTATATTTCAAGCAAATATAACCTTAGTTATCTCATATAACTTGAACCAAACACCCTCTAAGAGTATTGATATTGTACCTAAAATAAACTAAAATTGTGCTGAAACATGAGAAACGAAAATACAAAATCTGCTAAAGCTTAAATATCAAAACGACGTAATTTTAATCGAGCTATGTGGATCCGGGTCCACGATATAAATTGCCGATGAAGATAGCCTTAGTCATCATTCTTATTGGATCTTACGCCTAACATTGGCACAGAATCTTGGGCCTATTAAGGGAGGCCAATTTGAATTAGAAGCAATCGTTATGCGTTGGACCCGTATCCAGCATGCTTGCTGGACACAGGTAACAGTGCCATTAGGCACTGTTATTTCCTTTTTTTTTTTTTTTTTTTTTTGTTTTGTTTTGTTAATAATTTCATATCGCTTCGTTATAGGAGTATATGTTCATAATTTTATTACTATATGTTAATAATTGTACATTTATAACTCCATAACTGTACGTTCATAACTCTATAACTGTACATTCATAACTCCATAACTGTACATTCATAACTCCATAATTGTACATTCATAATTTTCGAAGCTCTATGTTCACAATTTTAGAGTTCTATGTTCATAATTTTATCACTATATGTTCATAATTGTAAGTTCATAATGTTAGAGCTCTTTGTTCATAATTCGATCAATAACTGTACATTCATAATTCCATAACTGTAGATTCATAATCTCATAACTGTAGATTCATAACTCTATAAATGTACATTCATAACTCCATAATTGTACATTCATAATCTTCGAAGCTCTATATTCACAATTTTAAAGCTCCATGGTCATAATTTTATCACTATATATGTTCATAATTGTAAGTTCATAATGTTAGAGCTCTGTGTTCATAATTTCATAATTGCATAACTGTACATTCATAACGGCATAACTGTACATTCATAATCCAAAAAAAAATAATAATAATAACGCCGTTAACGGCAAAACGCGCGCGAATTTTTTTTTTTTTTTGACTAAATGACGCTTTTTTTTTTTTGAAAAACGACGTCATTTTGGGTTCGTGTCCACAATTCATTGTGGACACGGGTCCAGGGCATAATTTGCGGCAAATTATTGTATGGACCATGGTCCACACAATGTTACGTGGACCATAATAAAAAGTACATTTTAATATACTAAATGTACATTATTTTTGTACTGAATGTACATTATACAATATAATGTACATTCAGAACAAAAATAATGTATATCCCTTGTATACAATATACATTATTTTTGTACTAAATGTACATTATTTTTGTACTGAATGTACATTATTTTATAGTAGACAAAATATGGTCCACCCAACTTGTGTGGACCATGGTCCATACAATAATGATTGATAATTTGCCAATTTGAAGGGGAAGATTATAAAGCCCAAATAAAATGGGCTGCATAATTACCAATTTCCTTTCATATAAATTTATAAATCTTATTCCGTACAAAATTATGTGAGAAATATGGTACGACAATGAAATATGCGCTAAAACTGAGAGTTCAATTCAGCGCCAACTGAGAAACACACACAGAGAGCAAAGCCGAGATGGGGGCGGAGGAAGGAATGGAGAGCAACCCAAAAACATTCGTAGAAGAAGAAGAAGAAGATGAAGATGATGATGAAGGGCCCCCGCCTGGTTTTGATTCGATAGCTATAAGGTCACAACTTGAAAACATGGATGTTGAGGATGAAGATGAAGATGACGATGACGATGACGGCCCTCCGCCCGGCTTCGCTGAACCACACCAACCAGAAACGCCGCCGCTGTCGGCTACAAGTCATTCTGGTGAGATGAGTTGCGAATACACATTTATAAATTTTAATTTTATTTTTATGTTATTACGATTTAGAAGGTGATAAGATTGAATTTCTACTCCCGCATTTGTTCACTATGCAAAAAGAAGTTTGCAACTTTGAATGTCTTAGTTGGGCCATTTTGATTTTGCAAAATTCCCCTTTTTATTTTACTTTTGGTGTGTTTTTAGGTGTATAGTATTATTCTTACTTGTAAATTGTAATGCAGTTCAATGCAAGAAAATTCTCCAGGTAGTGCCCTTAGGTTTTAATTTTAGTTTTTTATTTTGTTGCTTTCTTACACATATTTTAAGTCATCTTATTAGGTTAGCACTATTTGTAAATGTGGCTGATATTTATGGCACAAACACAATTATTTAGAATATCTCTTAATTAAGTTATCAAGTTTCAGTAAATTATGATTTCTCATTACTGGTAACACCAAACATCTGCTTTGGCTGATATTGAATCTCCTAGTAATCATTGGAATTGAATAACTTGTATCCAAAGTTGCCATTGTGCAAGATTTTGAATATTGCATAATGAATTATCACTGGGAGTGTATAGTGTGGACATGGCTGATACTTAATCTACAATCCATGCCTTTATTATTCGTCACAATTAAATGGCTCTGTATGCAGACTTGGTATTGGATGAGATTTTGAGTCACATTAAGTTTCTTGCCTTTTGTTTTCTTATAATCGTCTTGTCATTTTGGAGTTTGGACCATCTTTGATCAATGATACAAAGCTAAAAGATGACCTTATTGAGTAAAAAAATAGAGAACAATTTCCTAAAGTAAACGGCCCCCAGAAGTTTCATCCTAGTAATAGAAGCCAGCTATTCCCCTTTTCTATTCTGTTGGCACAATTTTGCAACATTAGATGGAGTGGAAGGATTCAAGGCCTAGCCTTCTCTTTGGAAGGGCTAGCCTAGTTCCAACAAGGCTAACCTCCAGGAAAACCAACTTGTTCAATTGAGGCTTTAGTACTTGTGTGCCTTTTATTTATTTATTTATTTATTTATTTTTATTGTTAGCATGATTGAAACATTTCTGAAGGATTGGAAGATGATTGGTTTTACAAATTAGTTGCCAAAGCTAAGGTTTTCTTTTGTTTCCTGAGCTTGGAAATATGTATTGTAACTGTGATTGCTAAAAACTTCATCCATTCAGGGACTTAAACTAGTAAAAAAAAATTCTGACTGCAGCTACTTTTAACACTGCTTCAGTTGAAATGAGTTAAATTTCGACTTAAATGAAGTGGTTAATGTTTCAGATACACAAAGGTTAAGAAATCAGGGGCTTTCAGATGTAGAAATTGGGAAAAAACAGAACGAGACTAAATATGAAGAAGACAGGCCTCCATTGGGCTCGCAATCTACAAGTCCAAAGCAACCTCATCAATCTATGACATCATCTGAACTTGTCTCTGGTAGGTCCTTTTTCCTAACTAATGCTACTTTTTTCCTGCTTCTCTCTCTCTTTCTCTGCCTCTCTCCTAATGTTATATTGACTTTATTTAGTAATCATTTTCCCTTTGTTAAGTTCTTGTCTCTACAAGATTAGTTGTATCTGCTTATGAACTAAGACCATGCCTTTCTTTGACATATAGAAAAAAGATTTGCACGCCTTTCTGAGTATAGCATGCAATTACCAACTTTTGGATGTGGAGTCTTTGTGATAGGATGGCTCAACTGAATATATTACAGCCTTTTTTAAAAAATAAGTAATATTATGGTCAATTACTTAAAAGGAACAAGAATTATATCAAGGATGATAACTAATACCCCTCTGATTTAGGCAAATATGATTTCCTTGTTTGAGGAAAAATTTCCTTCAATAGTGAAAGCAATAGGTTTCCATATGTTTCATTCTGTGTAGATATCCTTTTTGGGCATCAACCTCCAACAAAATTTACCCATCATAGGCGATTGGCCATAAGCCCCAAGAATTGATCACAATGTTGTAAAAATTGGCCTAGGCGGCCACCTAGGCCGAGGGGATTTCACCCCTAGGCGCCTTTCAGTCGGCCAGCCGACTAGGCGCCCAACTCGGCCAAGTCAGCCGAGTGGTTTTTTTTTTAATTGGTTTGTTTCGCTCAAAACGACGTCATTTTGATCGAAACAAGCCAATTTTGAAATTTCCCCAAAATATAAAATCCCTAAACGGCTAAAAGAAATTGAAAAAAAAAAAATAATCTTCCAAAGTACTCCTTCGCAAACGCAAAGTTGCAAACCTCCAGGCTGGACAGTGGTGGTGACAGCGACAACGTGGAATCGTGGATTGTGGTTGTGGCGACTGGATGGCTGGAAGCTTTGCATGACGGGCAACAGGGACTCGGCAACTCTAAGGCCTGTGGATTGTGTAGAGCGGTTGGAGCCTACTATTAATTTTTTTTTATTACTCGGCCGCCTAGGTGCTCTAGGCGCTAGGCGCCCCCCGGACGCCCGTCTAGCGTCGAGCGCCTTCGGCAACCTTGATTGCTCATTTAATAGACTAATATTAACTGCCTATGTTGGCCTTTTCAAATACACAAGTTATGGATATGAATTTGGCTAGTGATATAATTGACTTGTAAGAATTGGCATTGTGAATTTAGATACACAAATGAGAAGCATTGAAGAAGATGATGATGGTCCACCACCAGGGTGGCAATGGAACCCTCAACAACAGCCACTGCCAGAATCAATACCACCACCTGGGCTCCAATCAGCTCCATCTTCTAGTAATTTTCTTCAAGCTCTGGTTTTCACACTTTTTCCCCTTCCACCAATTCTGGCTTTTAAAAGGAATCCATAAAAGTTATTGGTTATGAATATCCTAATGATATATTTGAGTTATAAGAATTACCCTGGTGAATTTTAGGTATACAAACAGGGATCATTCAAGAAGATGATGATGGCCCCCCACCAGGGTGGCAGTTGATCTCTTCTCAACAGAGACAGCCACAAACTATTCCATCGTTACTGCCCCAGTCAGTAGCTCCTTCTGGTGAGCATTGTTTTAAACTCTGATTTTCACACTTTCTTCCCTTACTTTCTGTTAGCATCTTCAGTTTCAATGTTTTAAGCTGCATCACATTTTACCTATTTTCTAGTTTTATTTTACATGTATATAGGTAGTATGTATACTTAGTTACTGTGGTAACATTTTACTGTTGTATCAGCATTAAGTAAAATTTAGAATTGGATAGCTAGGCATTGTCTGGTAGTATGGTATGGACTTGAGGATGTTGTCTCTGAAGTGAGTTTGTGTTAAATTGAGAGAGAATTTATATTATTCAGGAACACAAAAATATAGGTTTACTTACTAGATATGCTAGAGGTACTATAATATAAAGCTTCACAAAAGCTAACTTGTGGCCATCATAGATATTGAAAAGGAGAATAAAGGAGGAAACAAAGGGGAAATTGAATGGCGCCAATCGGGCTCAGAATCCTCTCCTATGCCAGAATATTCATCCACACCTACTCGACATTCATCAGTAGCTTCTTCTGGTGAGTTGGGCGTGTGCCCTGAACATGAATGCTCTTCTAATGAGTATTGAGTAGTTCAGTTATGCTTTCTCTTCCACTTTCAAAAGTTGAGTAAGCAGATTAATTTACCAATGCTGTCCGTTAAATGTTTGTTGATGACACTTCTTTCTTTCTTTTTCCTTGTGCACATTCCAACCTAACCTATCTAAAGTCCCCAATGGAGAAACCTTTTGTGAAATTATCATCTTCCCATCTTCTTTGAATTTTCTTCTTCCTAATTTGGCTTCTTCAAAGCTTGTGGTCCTTGCAGAACCTTAAAAAATCAAGTCATCATTATTTTGCATTTTTTTTTTTTGAAAGCTACTGATTCTATTACATTGTAGTATCTGTTCAAGTATTTTGCATATTTCTAGTTCTTAAAGCATCATATCACTATTCTCATTTTTTTTTTGTGTGTGTATCTTTTTTGTTTGATCATATAATGGCTAAGCATTGATGTATCAGATATTGAAATGGCTACCAAACAACAAAGCATAAAAAATGAGGAGAAAAAACTTCGTACAGATAGGGGACCTTCTCAACGTATCATATCTCGACTCCCACCAGCTGCATTGCAAATTTCTTCTGGTAAGATTTTCTTTTTATTTATTTATTTTTATAATTGTGATTGGTGCAGACTAGCTTCATACTTTTTTGTCATTTGAAGCATTCGTCTTTTATACTTTCAGAGGTTGGTCAATTGGTATGTGGTACTTGCCGACAGTTGCTTTCATATCCTCGAGGTTCTAAATGGGTTCAATGCTCGGCCTGCCAGACAGTTAATCTTGCCCTTGAAGGTGCTTATCTTCCCCTAGTACTCTTCGAGTCAATCACAAGTGTCATGGTTGTTAACAATCACGTGATTCATCTCTGCTAATTCCATGCAAAGTAACAAAATTAGATACCTTTTGAATCTTCTAACAAATCATAAGCATTTGATTGTTCATAGATCTTATTAGTCTTTTGTGAAAAGATTAATAGTGTATAGAGTTTCCATGTTGCATTTGGATTTTCACTAGACAATCTTTAATGAAATGCCTCAGTCGCTTTTTATTTTTAATTTATATTCTTGTTCAGGTCATCAAATAGGACAAGTCAAATGCGGGGGCTGCACAGTATTGCTAATGTACCCATATGGAGCACCGTCGGTTAAATGTTCTTCTTGTCACTTTGTCACGAGAATTGGGGTATGTATTTGTTTATTCTAGAAACCATTTTTTTGTTTTTACTTTGCCATGTGTATATATTAAATATACATGTTTTCAAGAACATCTCATATCTATCAAGAATGATCACGAGTGCAACATGAATTGCATAGAAGCATTTGGCTATCCTTTCGAGTTAAAAACTTTGGCGCGAAAGGCGAAACCTTTCAATACCCAACCTTCTGAGTTCCGATTCCAACTCTTTTGTATTGCAGGCGCACAACAGGCGACCTCATCTGGCTGCACAACAGGCTCGGAGACAGCGCCCTTCTCATCAAGCACACTAGGGGGTTCTTATGTCCATTTTGTTCTAGAGCTGGGGAGTGGTCCTGTTGAGACTAGACTTTACCCTGTTCTGACATTTACATTTACCTATTTGGTGTAAATTCTCCTGTTGCCTTTTTGTTCACATGTTTAGCTCTTGCTAATCAGTTGAGACTTTACCCTTTTGAAGTTTCACTTCTGTAGTTGTATTTGTTTTAACAGTTTGTACTGATGCAAGATGTATACCAATGCCGATCAAAGACTTTAAGAGTGTTCCTGAAAATATGTTTGAGAAGAAAACATTTCAGAGCACAAATTGGAAAGAATTAATCAAAGCATACAAAAGTACTTTTTGAGTTCTTTGGGTGTGGTGGATGAAAGAGAAAGTTACAAAGAAAAGGAGGAGGGTGAATAACAGAATAACTCAATCCTTGCAATTTGACTTAGAAACAGACACCCTTCCGTTTTCACAGATCACTTGACAAAAGAGATAAACACTTGATCAAACAAACTAAGCCTATCTTTAATGTCTAGCAAAAAAAGTAAATCAAAAGAGGAGCCCCTACGAACTACGATAGACTTTAAATACACTGTTTCAAGATCTGAAGAACACTGTACGATCCTGAAGTCATAAACAACAAAATTGAGCTTTCTGCAACACAAAATTGTTGCTGAAATCCTGCATCAGAACCAGCAGGGAAAATGAAGAGACTGATGAGCTCTTGCATCTTTATTCAAGTGATGCCAGTTTCTCTTCATCTACCTCAAAAGCCTTCCTTGCCTGTTTAAGCTCCTCATTCATGGACAGCAATTCTGTGCACCGGTGAAGTTTTGGCAAATCCTGCACAATATAATATGCTATTAGTCCACTAACATAAGTGTGCCATTACACAGCCAGAAATCCCATGATTTTTTATCACCCAAAAGTGATCGGAAATTGAAAGTTTGTGGTTAGAAACAACCACCTAGAGGAATGAATTGAATGATGGTTTGCATTCATGGAGCTCAAAATATAACGTTGGAAGACCTACCTTTCGAATTAAAAACAGAAAATCCTCTGTCAAAAGCTTCCCTCTCTTTGTTGCAACATCTTGAGCCTTGTGCACCTATTGGAATGAATGATGATGGTTCATGGAGCTCAAAATATTTATGTTGTAGCAAATGCATACTATTTTTCTCGGAAAAACCAAGTACTAGAAATCATTGTTTAGGTGTGGAAAGTTATTTTCACTCACCATCTCTGTGACATACTCTGTAACAATGTCCTCCACAAGTGACATTGTCTCCAGAAGTGGCTGATAGCGCAGCAGCAGAAGTTAAATTTTGCAGCAAGACGAACAAAGAAAAAGAAGAATCCAGCATTTCTAACAAATCAAGAAACAAAACCGAAACATAATGCACCAGAACAATCTGAAGGGAATTTGACAAACTGAAATTTGAATACATACATTGGCATCATCTCCAAAACCATACATCATATGCTGCACTGGATATCAGCACAAAAAAACAGTAGTTATGCCCTGCAACATGGATTGAATCTCTACGCTGAGGTTACCTTAAAAAAGAAAGATGAGAACTCACAATCTTTCTGAAACATTCCACGTTTGCGTTTCAATGAATTGTCTATAGGTTGGGAAGCTCCCACTTTTGCTTTTGATGATGGCCCGGCTGCTGGGTTGCTCATTCTCTGTAAATTGTAGCACTGTTAACAAATTCAAACTACACACTTGCTATTCAGAAAACGTATAAAGCAAGCTTTCGGCACAGCACATAAAACTACTAAGAGATTTACAACATTAGAGCTGCTAAGACAACTGTTAAATCATAGCTAGCCCTTTTAAACAGCTGCAACATCATGATTCTTGAATGATTAAGCTGCTAGCCCACTGCATGATGCTAAAATATCAAAATTGCTAACAGGAATTTTAAATCCCAACCACCCAAAATGTGGTGTGCTCCATGTGGGCACCAGTCCTCCCACCTAATGGGCCATTGAGTTATGGTGACTCATCCCACCATTATCCTGTCAGGTTGAGTGTGGGGGGCCGGGAGCAAGAGGATTTTTCCTTTTGTAGACAAGATACAATGTGAGAGCATACATGATTCTTGGGAGACAATGCAAGGTAACATCATAGCTAAACACCAGTGATCCATGTAGAAGCAAGAATCAAGGTGAAAGCTTCAAATATAATATAATACACCATTGATGATAAAAAGATGCAGGATTTTTATACCTCTGAAACCTCGTCAAAACAACCGTATTTCAAATGCCAGTTGCATCAAAAGAACTGTAATTCCAGAAAATTAAGAAAAACGAAATTGTTTACAATGATCATAATATTGTATTTGCGTAAAGATTTCAACTTTAAACTTACCCAGATGGAGAAAAATTGGGAATGCGGAGGGACGGAAGGATGTTGATGGTTGATCGACGCCTGAGAGGAATTGCATGCGTGGGAAATATATAGGGCAACTTATTTATATACTCCGTATGTATATATATATATATATATATATATATATATATATATATATATATATATATATAATATAATATAATATAATATAATATATATAACTAGTTCTCATATGATTAAAAGACTAATGATCAAATGAGTCATCTTTTTATATATAGATTTAGGTTGATATGAAAATCTATATTAACATGTGAACCTGAGAATCAATCTGGACTTTTTATCTAGATTAGTAAATGTATTTATAACACAATGCACACATGTACTGCAATGCAGTGCAAACGCAATACACACATGTTGTGGTGACACATTCCTCCCTATAAAAAGTGTGACATATTCACACCATCCATCTGAAAAAATATTTTTTGTTCAAATATACTTTTTCAACCTAATGAGGTACACAAAGTCAATAGCATTCAAAAAAATGTCATATGAGCACAAAGTGCTTGACATGATTTTACAATTATTAAACTTTTGACTTGTTATTTTACCATCAACCATTGATGAACTCGACGATTGAACGACTGTGATCAATTCTCAAAGACCCGGTTCTCATTAAAAGAAAAATATTTTGAATTTGATAAACCGGAAACTCCTACTTATACGGAGTATATTTTTGGGGGGTTTTGGCGGTTTTCCGGAATATCTCCGCGATCTCGCCGGGTTATAGCGCCGGCGGGGGGCTGCCTGTACTTAACTTCAAACTAAATGTAGTAGAAAATAGCATGTTACAGAAAAGGGAAAAAGAGTTGTGCATAGAAATTTCTCTCTTTAGAACTGTAGCACTTAAATCATGATCAAATATTCACATAGCTGTACAAATAAGTCTACCTATGGATGTAATCTGGAAGAAACAAAAATGATTCTTACTTGATATAGTGCTTCTACTGGGTGAAGAAATTTACTTGATATAAGCAACTGTACAACCGTAATTGAATGGACTTTCCTGCTCAAACTTGACAACGCGGGGATGATCTCTCAGCAGCTTTAGTGCCAACTCCTTTATGACGCCAGTGCCCATCCCATGAACGACGAAAAGAACAGAATTAGGTGGCCTTGCATCTATGCCCATGCTGAGGTGATGAGAAGCTTCCTCTGCTCGCATGCCACGCAAATCAACTGAGTTTTTAGATGTCTGAACAACTGGACCATAAGGGTCTTGGTTTATGTTGCTGGCTGTAGTAGTGAGGCTTCTTAGTTCCTTGAGGTTCTTGATCCCCTGACCCTAATTTGGAAATGCCATTTCTCAATTTTGAGATGTAAATCACAGCTAACCCTTACCTTCATCTTTAAATAGTATTGCATTATGAAAAAATTGAGAAAAGAGTGATGGGAAAGCTAGATTATACCACTGACCTGTGTTCTTGAACTCGGGACAGAACCTGTTGCAGAATTAGTTGGAAGGGCTCTTATATTGCTTTTATCCACACGGACTCTAATTTTTCCATATTGGACAAGGACAGTTTCGTCGTCCCCAGTTTCTTCAACGATGGTAGCCAGCTTATTTCCTAAACTCTTCACAAGAACTTGCTCGCCTACCCTTGGGGTATAAAAACTTTGGCCTGTTTCTCTGACAAGTTCTTTCGAAGGCTGATGAGCTTCGATTATGGATGAGATTGCAGACTCTGATTTCTTGATAAGTGAATTAACCTGAAGAATGTCAATAGTCTTGAGTTGGTTCTCAAAGTCCTTCAGTACAGCTTCTATCTCCCTCTTCACAGCCCTCACTTCTTGTTGGATTTTCTGAGTTTCCTTTGCCTTCAGAGCTTTTTCGCGTTCATCTAGATCTTGCGCCTCATCTTGAATCTTCAATAGGAAAGAAAAAGGATAAAACTTTGAAAAGGAAGTGAATAAAAGAAACTTGACTTCATACATTCAGAGCTGGCAGATAGTCGGAGGTAATAAGAAGTAAGAATCTTCACTAGCTTGTCATTTGCAAGCTCACTCAATCTTTGGTACACAATCCATTGCAATTTGTTAGGATTTAAGATTGGGCTAGGGTCACTCAACTGGGCACACTAAAAGATTGAATCCAACCAATTAGCTAGTCTGGCATTATAAACCCATATATTCTCTCTTATTTTATCATATCAGACTCTTTAACACAATGATATCCTCAAAGAAAAATGTTAATCGTACCTCTTGGAAAAGATTCATGATATTTGAATGAAGAGAAGCAGCTTTCTTTGCTTGAGTTTCTAATCTGTCTCTTTCTTCCACTAGTGACTGATACAGTAAACCTTTCTGCTCCTGCATCTTGTCTGGTGTCAATTTGTTTACCCATGATTGCGCCCGACTAATGATGCTTTCATTAACACCAATTGATTTAGCAATCATTAAGGCATTTGACTCACCCGTGCTCCCCCAAAGAATCCTAAACGTAGGCTGCAGCGTATCCAAAGAAAATTCCATTGCTGCATTACAAAACCGATTATCCTTCTCTTTCAAACGTGTTAAATCACCGTAGTGGGTGGTCACAACTGCTAAATTAACTCTCTCCTTGATATATTGTAAAATGCTCGTTGCAAGAGCTACGCCTTCCGAAGGATCAGTACCACTGCCAATTTCATCAACAAGAATTAGAGAACTTTCTGAAGCAGCTTCCAAGATCTTGCAAAGCCGTAACATGTGCCCACTAAAGGTGGAGAGGTTTTGTTCTACAGACTTGAATAGGCAGATAAGAGTATCACATCAACAAGATATAAATTATTTTATAAATAATGATAATGACAATAGAACAAAATGTAGAAGAGCATACAGAGAAGGTGACAGAAGCATGTACCTGATTATCTCCTATATCTGCCAGAATTAGATCAAACCAAGGAAGTCTGGGCTTATTTTGAGCTGGCAAGTACATGCCAGCCTTGGACATAACAGAAGCCAGACCTAATGTTTTCATTGAAGCAGTTTTACCTCCTGTATTAGGCCCCGAGATCACAACCACTCTTGTTCCATGCTCAATTTTTATATCAATCGGTACAGGAAAAGCAGATGCACGAGTAACTGATTCAAAATCTGTGGCATCATTCTTCTGATCCGAATAAAGTGAACTTCGGGATTTAAATCTTACAATATCAGGCAATCTTCTCAACGAGCACTCGAGGAGCAGAGGATGCTGTATACCTTCAATATCTACAGATAAATCATTGAATATTGGGTCATCAAAGTTCTCTGAACTAAGAGCTGGACAGACCCCATTCATCCAATGAGCATGAGCAGCTCTAGCAAATGCAAGGTCCATTTCTAACATCCTATCTAATAAACACTCGATCTTCATTTTGGATAGAGCAATTTCAGACGTAAGCGAACTCAAAATCGCCCGTTCCTCATTCCTCTCTTCACTAGAAAGCTTCACTTCCATGTTATTCAGTTCAACTGCCTCTTCAGGTTCCATAAAGTATGTTGATCCAGTGCTGCTAACATTTAAGACTACACCATTGGGAAGCAAAGATCTATGGGAAGCTCTAACACCAACACACATCCTTGAACGGCGTTTGGTTACTAGCGGTCTATCAATCCCACCAGCCCGAAAAATTCGAGATGATGCTTGTTTCAACATTAGTTCAAGATTTTCCATGTTCCTCTTTCTTTCAAACCTCACAATTTCCAGTTCTTCACTAGCTCTATCTAGTATTACTGAAAGGTCACAATCTATACAGAATTCTATATGGTGTGCCAATTCAACAAGAAAATCACAATTCTGGAGAATTTCAATCAGCGGAGACCACCTGCTAATAAAGAGGAGAGCTATTTAAATTAATCTATAAATACTTACAGTTAAGAGTTTATATAATTCAAATAAATTTATTTATGAATATAGAGATATAAGCAATTTCTTCAGGTCATTTCATATTTTTATCATAAAAATATTTATAGTGTTTTTAAAATTATTTAATTTTTCGCCCCTATAAACGAAATTTCTGGCGCCACTTTACCTTTCACAAAGTTCACTCTGAAAAGAGATCTCCTCCAGCTGTTTGAGCAACGACCGAGCTGCGATAAGAGTTCGTTTCACGGCACAAATCTCACGAATGGAGAGCATTTGACCGGCGACGGCGGTATCGACGATGCGCGAGACGTCCTCGATGCCGGAGAAATCCAACGGCCGAGGAACCGCGACGGCAGCGGAGGTCTGCGCCAGGAGCCTCCGGCTCTCCTCCGGGCTCCTGCCCAATGGAATCGTCGCGGACTGGGCCGCGGAGAGGCCCATGG